TTCATTTTCAAACATGATACGCATTAAACCACTTATTTAAACTGCTTACTACATAAAGATATTGAGATCAAACAAAGTCATACTGGCACATATAATTCTGTTAAAAACAGCAGTGGTAGAAGACTTGAAAGTATTAGTTCAATACTAGTTGTTGCTCATTACTTTGTTGTTTCAAGCCTCTTGAATGAATTTTGGAATAGGAATGTCCTATATGGATTATACTTGTTATTAGCTGATTTCTATCAAACTGGATGTTACTCAAAATTTCTAATTTTTGTGAACCAAATTTCCTATCGCAAGCATTGGCAACACAAGGGTATAGTGAACCAGAACATGGAGCTCAAGGTCCCAAGGGTGTGCAGTGATCCTCGCAACTATGCATGATGGCAGAGCTGCACCTCAGGTTATTGTCTAGTAAACTGATCACGTTAATATGCAACCTTAGCTTTTAACGAATGCACATTGGAACTATTGGAGCGAGAGTGCAAGGAAACTGCTCCAACTTCAAAAGGTTCAAGCTGCAGATATCATTTGGTATGTATATCTCAAGACAGTGGGTGACTATGGTTGAATTCATATTCCATTCAACAACTTCACCAAGAATCAATTGAACCATAGTGCCTCTTTAAGATTCAGTTAACCAAGCTTATTATTTCACATATTTGTCACTGAGATGAAAAATAACAAGCATGAGAGAACAGATGCTATCCACATCAAAGATAATAGAGTAAATGGTTTTCGTCCTTCAAAATTGAGATGCAGGGTTCTGCATATATATGTACTTCAATCCAGAACAATTATAGGTCATCCATGCAATAGAAATCAAGCAACAGAACATGGACTGTACACACCTTGGCCTGCTTGATATTCCAATTGGCAGGTCTGGAGTAAACCTTTTTAGAACAGCATCAAACATAATTGGACTGAAAGATTTCCCACTCTCAAAGGTCACCTTTACGTTACTCTTTGCACTTAAAACATCGGGCATGTCAAATTCGGATATAAATTTGATAAATGTATGCAAGGTTGGGTAGCCAATCTAAAATTGAAACAAATACTCACTGTAAAGGTCAGAAAGAGAGAACAACAAAGGAAACAAGAAAAAAAAAGACAGTGTTCCATATGATCAAAACCTCTGGAATACTTTGAGATCTCAGATCCTGCAAAAGCTGTACGAACAGTGAACATGAGAGTAGTGCCTGCAATGTTGCATTCAAGAAGCATAGGTTTCCTGAATTTATTAAGCCTCTTGGGAGTATGCTTTTAACATTTGGTGCTTTATCAGCCAATGCTTTTGGAATGTCCACTACAGGAGACTCAATGGCTGAAGAATCAACAGAAATACTGTTGGCTTTTGATGCTTGAACCCATCCTTCTTGGACCTTTGGGCTTGCAGACAATTCTGCACCAGCAACTCCCTTTTCAGTTATATGGGGAGAAACTAAACCTAAAGTATCCTTCCGTTTCTCCATGAGTTCATCATCCTGGCACGAGTTGATGGCCTCTCCATTTGCTTTACTTGTTTGTAACCAATTATTAATTTTTCCCGGTTCATTTTTGCATGCCAGATCTGCAATCACATTTGACACTTGAATGCTGTTGGATCTTGCAGATGAATTATGTTCTTTTGATTCAGAGGCAAAGTCCACCGATCCAAAATGTCGTCCTGCCTTTTCGAAAGAACACATACACGCTGCAGATTGTCTCTGAAACAACCTAGTTTCTTCTTCAGTGAATGACCCAAATATCAAGACCTGCTTAAAGAAATGCATACAATTATATAATCAACAAAAGATCAGAATTCAAACACAATCATGACAAAACCTTTAAAAGTTATAATTTCATGAAGAAAAACCTTTCTGGCTGACAGTGAAGATTTTTAATCAATAAAAAAAGCAAGGTAAATGATCTCTTGTCACAAAGTGATATGACTAGTAACAACATTAGCAGAATTGTTTAGGCAAGAATACTTATTAGTGCAAAAACCACATTAGATTAACAAATTAAGGAAATTTGGGAGCACAATACACCGCAACTATTAACATGTACTAAAGATTGGGTGCCCAAATCAGAGCTTAATGTAGCCCTCCTAAGGGCTGCCAGCTGTATAAGGCAGCCTAATATAGCATCACCTGAGGTTAGGCTGTCGTTGAGCCCTTTCATGTTGATGACATCAAAATTTAGCAGCATTTATTGTCTAATTTGGTAAGGATGGCTGCTACACTAATATGGTAAGCTTGACAGATGATTTTCAACACTACCAATGGCCCGTTAATCGGATAGGAGAATGCACAAAAATTCCAAAAGAAGGAAGGAATATTTGGACTACTAGCATTGCATTTAGGATTGTCTGAATTGAAGGACACATACCAACTCAAGTCAAAGAAGGACAACATTCAATCCCAGGATTAAGACCTTCTAACTTGATCGCTCTTCCATATTCTCTAAATTGTCTAAATTGGTATAACGATCATCTACATTGTTATAGCAAACTAGATCCTTCCATAACCAAACTTGTATCCACAGAAATTTCTTCAAGTACCAACTTATGCCAGTACTAGGCATCCAAATACAAAATTTAGTGTGTCAGGGATTTCCCAAGAGATGAGCTCCAACTGGTACTGAATGCAAATAAATGGCTAAACAACATTGGTGCTTGGCATGGACTAGTAAGCTACAGAAACCTGATGGGTTTACACTGCTACAAAGACACTTGTGACAACATGTAGATTCCTTTTTCTTGTTTAACAATGACAGGGGTAAGAAGAACTGGAAAGAGAGAGGGAAAAGAAAGTGCAAAGGCTACAAAGGTTCGAACAATACCACATGAATGGAATTATAAATTTGCAGGCATCAGAATTGTCAATCCCATGTACTACTTGTGGTGTTAGAAAGAAAAGCAAGAACCTCATATGTATTAAAAAAAGAGATGACACAAGTACAATTGAAACAATATTTTCACAAGTAAATTTTTTTTCCAAATTACACAAGTTCAATTTCCGACAATACACATGATGTGGTGTTTCAGACATGAAGATTTGGTAGCAACGAGACTTGTTTTCAAGGCATTAGTCACCCCAGTAGCTGCACACAAATGGATGCCCAATTTGCTACCTGATATTATACTGGCTAATTTGTAGACCCAAACATTATTACGTGGGAACCGACCTAATCAAGATCCTAACTTTCGGAAGTTCTGAAAATGCAAATTCCAGAAATCAATACCCCAAAAAGGGTTCTCATACAAACAAATTGAATATGACTCGAAGATTCCGAAATTGCAAAAGGAATCACCTTCTGGTCACTCATCTTGCTCGCCAAGCCGAAGAACCACCTCGGAATGATCGAACGGTCTCAAAAAAAGCCTCCTTTCTCCGGTAGTCGAAGCAAGAAGCGAGCCGTATTAAAGAAGAAGGCGAACTTAGGGCTGGAAACCCGGCCGAGAGGAAGACACCACGGGAAACGCCGAGCGAAGACATGAAAGGAGAGAGACGATGCGAGGGCGAAATAAAGAAAGCGGGAATAGCATTTGAGGAGGGATCCAACCTCTCTCCGGGTCACCTGCACTAGCTCGCCACCGCCGGAGCGGAGCATTCGGCCTAGGGAGTTGCGCTAGGCTTGAAGGGTAAGAAGATGGGGCTTTTTCCTCTCGATGAAAAAGACAAAGAGGTTTTGTATCGGAAAATTGCACATATTCATATTAATCCCTTTTAAGTCCACGTATATATATATATATATATATGTATATATATATATATGTATATATATATATATGTATATATATATATATATGTATACATATATATATGTATATATATATACATATATGTATATGTATATATATATATACATATATATACATATACATATATATAGATATACATATATATATACATATATATATTTATACATATTTATATATATACACACATATATATATTAAAAAACACTCATACTTTTTTAAAAAAATTATACAATGCTTTTTTTTTTTCAAATAACCCTTTTACCCCTATCAATCATCGTCCTTCGTCATGTCTCTACCCCATTATTTATCCTTTTTTATCTTAAACAAATGCTCGTAACCTTTGTCATTATTATTTACAGACTCGTCTCCTCATTGTCATTCGCTCGCCTACGTGGGAGAAAGAAAGGAGGCATGCCATCGACTACGAGAAAAGAAGGAGAGGGGGCCACTGTGCGCTCTTGTCGTCGATCACAAAGTGAAGAGGATATTTCAAAGTGAGGAAAGAGAAGGGATCCCCTCACCAAGGAGGGTGCATACCTTCGTCATCACTATCTCTGCGAGGTGTGAAGTTGTTGGGTTGACAAAGTCAATAGGGGCTGACGAAATCAATAAAGGTAACCCTCATGAGATGTGGACGATGATGAATCCGATAAAAGAATAGGTAAAATGATTTTTTCACACGACTACTACGGATGTTATCTTAATAATTTTTGTAAGTATAAGAACTCTTTAAAAAAAGTTCACAAAGTAATTTGTTTTAAGAATGCACCCTCGACCGATCTTCACAACCTCCAATTTTTTGAGTAAAATATTTAAATTTAGATTAATGATAGGACATCGCTGGAACTCTCATCGAAGTCTTCAAGTATTAATTGATATCCATGAGTTCACAGAATTTAGTTTTGGACATTCGTAAAGGATTTTTCTAGTACTCCAAAACCTACACAAACTACAATCATAATTGGCCTCAATACTGAACCAATTCAACTTTTGTAAACTACATAAACTACACAAACTACATAATCTGCAGCCATAACTCTTCCCTTCCTACATTTTGTAATCTGGTGAAGCCAAGACCATGTAACACTATGATATATAAAACCCTGTAAACGAACCGTTACTAGTAGTGAATTTGAGCTGCATTGACTTCAAATTGAAAATAAAAAATGAAAACAAAAACCCTTATAATGGAAAAAAGTCAAATATGCTTCCTCGTATATGTACTCCGCATATTCTCCAAATGATCAGTCAGATAGATCCCAAGTCATTAAACATGAAACATTTATCACTTCCACAGAATTCTTAAAGCAGCAGTTTTACAATTCTGCAAGTCACAGACAAGAAAGTTGGGAGAGAACAATACTTGATACAACAGATAATGATAAGCTTTCCGTACTTGGTAGGATATGCTGATAATTACAGACCATTGCAGGAATACTATAAAAATTGAAGACCTGTAAATATATTGTCGGTTCATTCCAATTCCTGCCCTATTTTCTTCGGAATCGGTTCATGCCAATTCCTCACATATTTTCTTCGGAAGCAAGAAATAATCAGTATTATCCATAGTGGCCTAGCTTAGCAGCGTGATGATTTCCAACAAGCATCCTCAACCACATCATGGATGGAACATCAAGCAGCTACACAATTTTCCCAAGCACCATATCTTGAGCTAAAGGTGCCTCCTCCAGTCTGTCGTGCATATTCCGTTATTACCTTACGGGCACTGACATCCCATGTTCTTGCCATCTCTCCCAGCGACATGGGCTGTGATAGGCCACGGAGAGAAATGATGAATGTCGACCTAGCCTTGACAGACAGATCATCAGATTCCCTACCATAACATCAGAATAACAAAATTGGGTCAGCTTCCTGTTGACCTCCCACTACTGGCTGACAGATAATGTTTAGTATTATGTCTAACCTTTGCTCATCTGGAAACTTGTCCAAGAGAACAGGAGAACATTTTGGATAATTAGCAGGAACAAGCAACCTCAAAGGTAGAATTGGACTCTGGATGACCAAAAAACGTGAGAAAAACATGAACATCAAATGCAGATCTTAAGGTACTTCATGTACATAAACTATTGTACTAGTTGAAGCTCACCATGTGTTCCGAAGCAAACTGAGACTTCAGGCTCGGGCATAAAGCCACAGTAGTGAAGACACATTTCACTATTGTTCCTTCACCTTGTGGAGCAGCAGAATTTGAATCGGTATCTTCCTCACTTATGTTAACCACTGTACCAATTAGCCGCTGGTTTATCTCCCTGATCTCCTCGAGTAATGCATGATTTACCTGCAGTTAAACAGTATTGAGATCTAATGAAAAAAAAGGAAAGAATTATTATAACTAATTATAACAAAGGAAAACATGTAAGGTACAACACATTTCTTTGTTAAAAGATCAGAAATAGATTTCTCTTAATTCTGTATACCAACCATAAATACTTGATCTGTTTCCTTATTACACAAGTATACAATTCCTCATAAGAACAAATTCTTTTCCTCTTTCAAAATTTGTAGGAATCAACAGGTTCTTTTAAAATTTTTATTTCACAGATGATAAATGAATAGATCATATATGTTTGGCCATCCGTACTGTGTGCATGCAGATGCACAAAAAAGGTAGATGGGAGAAAAATAGATGGTTCAACAGATAAATTTCTCCGGTACACTGAGGAGGAGATACAATGAGGTTTCGGTTCATTACCAATAAATGGGCATTAATACTAGTATTATGCAACTAGAATAATACAAAGAAACTGTGAAACATATACACACGTATGCATCCAATGGTAGCACAGCTATAATTAGAGTAGGCATAGGTGCTTTTATAAATTATGATATACAGCTACATAGCAACTCAATTTTCTATGTAAATATCTCTTAAACTAATCTTAACCACCAGGTTTCAAAATTATATGCACATGTGCAAAGGCAATTCTTTTTCTTCAACAGCCAGATGAAAATATTCAGTATTACTACTTTAGGGTTCAAAAGTTTAAAATTGCAACTTCAGAAGAACAATACATGAACAAATTAAGCTTTGAATGGTTATACAGAAGTTTGAAAGAGAACTGGCTAGATATGGGATTATATAGCATATCCAAATTTGAAACTACAAAGAAGCTAAGAAATCCACACAAAAGGAAAGTAACCAAATAAATGCAAAATAAGCATAAAAGTTGCACATTGCCTGAAAAAAATCAACTGCACAGTAACACACCTCAACCTTCTGCCGCTTGACACGTGATGTTGCAGTCGACTCTAACTCGGATGTATCAAGACCATATGAGTGTTTAAAGCTATCATTTACACTTCCAGCAGATGACACATTATTCAAGGGCATGGCACTTGTGTCTCGCTTCATTTTTTTGGTAGTAGCACTTCCATCCTGTGACATGAAACTTCTAGCCTGCAAACGACACTTTGTCATGGCAACTAAATCTTCACCTACTGCAGCCCTAGAACCATTTCCTGGTGCTGGTGCTGAACCTGCTATCCTGTCTATCATGCTAACAACGGACCCAATATCACTAACAGCAGAACTCAGGGCCTTGGGTGTTGATGATCGTATCTGAAAGAACTTCATTCATGTTAGGTATTGATCATGATAGTACAATAATAATAGATAATATGCATATATTTTGTGTCAACTATGTAATAAATAGATTTATCTTTTGTGTTCTAAAATTTACCATAATAGTGTTGACTCTCTCGAGAGACTCTTTATCAAAGGCTATTCTAAGCTATTAAAAATCATGCACAATTTTTTCATTATTTGATAAATAAATAACTTCTATGATGATTGATCTTCTGGACATAAAACTAAATTGGTTAAAAAAAAAACTTATTTCACTTATTATCTACCTTCAACCACCCTTTCCCAAAGTTTGATAGTATAATTTATTATCTTAATTCCTTTGTAGTTAGAGTAGCTTTAAATATCTCCCTTATTCTTACAAATTGGTACTACGAAATTGGTAAATACCAATGTACTCCTAGACCTTTTAAATTCTTCCCCAAAAAAGGTTTTTGATATTCAAAATTGTTAAATAAATCATCAGCAATCTTTTTATATTCAAAATTGTTAAATAAATATAATCAACCAATGTACTCTTAGATCTTTTAAATTCTTCCAAACCCTAAATAAGGATACCATTAGGTCCCACACTCTTACTTATTCTCAATTCTTTTTAGAGTTTCTTATACCATATTTTATTTAATTTTATGAACAAATCTATGATACTTAAACTTATCGCTATTGTCCATCTCTATACTTAAATCATCTATAAAATGTTTATTAAATGATCTAGAAAAATAAGGTCTTACAGTGATGTAAATGGTACAGGTAAAAGAATACTGATTGTTTCAGGAGGAAATGGTTTTACACTTATTTTTGCCGCTTGCTACAAAATGAATACATGTTTTCTTTTTAGGCCAGGCCTCCTGGAACTCTTAAACTACATCTTGTAACTCATGATTTACTTAGAAAGATATGTATGATTGGGCAGATACATAATCTTTGTAGTTTGTTGTCATTACATTCAGCAGATACATTTACTTACTATCATGGGCTGCATGGCTACATGTGAATTTCCGTTGCACATCTCACTTTGCGCAGGAGATAAAAGGATACATTTGATAACTTTATCTACCATGCTACTAAATAATTCTGCCCAAGATTCATAAAATGAAAAAAAAATTACTAACCACTTTTATTAAGCGTTCAAATGGCCTTTCTGTTGTAATTGCTTTAGCAGCACCTGAATTTGTATGGTTGGTCTGATTTCCATCAGGACTGGTAAATTCTGCCAGCAAAGGTGAAGCTGATATTCCAGGCGTAGTAACAGCAAGTGATTGAGCTTGAGGAGCTACAGCTGTTGGTTGATGTCCAACACGTCCTGCATTTGGCACTGATGTAATGCCAGAAATTTGTTTCTCATCTCCTGGAATAGGTGAGGGGGCTATAGGTGTGGAAGGAGATGGATCGAATGGTGAGTTAGCCGACTGCAAAGGTGTTCCAGTTTTTATTTGAGATGATAGCAGACTGTGCTGATCGAGTTGAGGAGAAGAATGGTGAGAAATCTGGGGAGATGAAGCTTGAAAGTTTTGAGGTGATGAAATTGGAAAAGCAGCACCAGATTTCAATTGCTGATAATAGCTGTGGCGTTGATTAGGCAAGAAATGCTGTTGATAAAGTCCTGGTTTAACGCCAGGCCCTTGTCTAAACTTCAACTCATTGATTTCATTTGATTGATTGAGCTGTGACAATTGGTGTACTGGCAGCTGTGATGTTTGGTGTTGTTTTTGCTGCTGTTGTTGCAACTGTTGCTGCAGAGGCTGCTGCACCTGAAGTAGTTGCTGCTTTTGTTGTTGCTGAATTATTTGTTGCTGCATATTACGCTGTTGAAATTGCTGCTTTAGTTGTTGATTTTGCATATGCTGCTGCTGCTGCTGCTGCTGCTCCTGCTTAAAATGCTGCTGCTGTATTGCATTAGAACTTGGTTGCTTGGAATTAATATTGTTTTGCAGTGAATTCATTGAGCCGTTTGACATAACATTGGCATTGGTCTGCGGAGGAACATTAATAGAACCTTGCCCGGATACCAGACCACCCTGTTGCATGGATGCAATTCCTCCCTGCTGCAATGAACTAAAAGAACTCCCTTGGGCAGAATCAATTGCAGAACCAGTCTGTAATGCATTTGTCATGTTCTGTTGAGGTGTTGGAACACCAAAATGTGTTGATAAAGGTACAGAACCATGTTGCATACTTGGCATAGCAGCTGGCTGCACTGAAGTTGTTGAACCTTGAAGATTCATTTGCTGGTTTGCATAATTGTCATGTTGCTGCACTTGAGGAACTTGAGATGATTGTTGTTGAGACATGGATTGAGGATGTCCACCAGGATGCTGAAATTGTTGCTGTCCAGGAGGCTGTGAAGGGACAACCTTTTTCTTATTTGTAGCTAGAAAAGTCGTTATTTGCTTCTCATACAATGGGAGTTTGTCTTTCAAACCAAGTTGAATATTGCTCCTGGGTAATTGCAAAATATGTAATGTACGCTCTAACATAATCTTATAACTTTTCATTTTATCAAATTGTTCAGATGTCTTCACAGACGGCATAAGCACATCATGCTGCAACTAGCAAGATACAAGAGAAAACATAAAAGGAAATGTCACCAAATAAGTTTCATTTTATTTTCAGAAATCCTGTGAATCTTAAAAGAAAGTGAACCACAAATAAGAAACTCAAAAACCTGCTGCAACTTTAGAACAATCTTTTGGTAAAGCTCAGTCAAATCTGCAAAGTAGAGCTCCTTCATGGATTTTATCTGCCCATAAAAAAGTAAATGAAGTTTCATCATAGAGCTCAATTAATATGTCGCTTTACCATAGTTTTATGGCTTCATCACAAAGCTCAGTAACATAAATTTGACATCCACATATAGATATCTATATAAAGATGTAAAACATTCATGTACTCAAGGCCTAACATCACCAGAAAATAAAATAATAATCAAATGATAGGCAAATAACAGGACTTAGAAATGCCAATTCACAGAAAGAACATTAAATCTGCACAGAGCAGTGCATGTATTTCCATCCTTGGTACATTGGAGATGGTGAAATCTGCTATAACAATTTCAAAGAGGCAAGATGTTAGGAACCTTTCTAGTGGAGAAAAGATTGTGTGAATTCTACTGGATGATGTCTTTGGCTCTAAGAGTTTTTCTTTTACTCAGGTTCTAAGAGTTTTCCTATAACATGTCATTGCTCAGCACAAATGAACCTAATTAAATGACACTCTAAGCTCATGTCACTTGGCAATAAAAATAGAATAGTGGTATCTATCTTAGTGTGCCTACATAAATGTTTACCCATCACTGAGTTCGTTATAGGGCAATATCCTACAATATATAAAAATACCAGTATTTACATTGTATCGAAGATTGATATTCAACATGTTCAGCATCAGACCAACTATGAATTGATTTATCTCTTAATACATCTCCAACTTCATACAGGCCAATTAATTTAATTAATTCTTCCATAATTGAGAAATCAAGGTAAAACAGGAATGAAAAACAAGAAAAGAACTCAAGTTTTATGTTATACACCTTCTGATAAATCTCCTCCTGCCAATCAATGATGCCAACATGTCCTGTTTGAGCTGAAGAATCCAGTGCCTCTGTAAAAAAAAAAAGTAAACATAAAAATAAAATAACCTAAGTAGGTAAAAACCAGTAATGCACTCCCAATTGGCAGCAAAAGTTATTCAAAGCTCAAAGATTACCAGTACAGACTATTTAAAAGCAAATTGAAGAACAACAGCTCGAGTTAAATTGTGAGATTTAGATTAGCATGATATGATGTTGAAGAAACAGAACCTAAAGCAAACATTGATCAGCAGGGAACAAGATGTAAATCGCTGACATCATCATTCGTTCAAGAAAATCCTGTCCACTGCCATAAAAAGTGATAATTTTCCCATAACAAATATATTAAATCATTAAGAAGCACAGTCACAAAAAGCCCTGGAGATATCAAAGCTCAAAATATCACCCAACTTTTGGAACAGAGGTGGTCCAGTTATGATCCCTACTTCTGATATGAGCAGCATCAGTGTAAGTACATAGATCACATAAACTTTGGTAAGGTTACACAAATAACCATGATGATCCAAAGTGATGTTTCTAAAGTATGAGGTTGGGCACAATAGCCAATCTCAACAAATAGATGAGATTGTAAGCTTCCAAGTATGAGATTAGAAACTTGATTATTATTTTTCAGAAGTAGCAAAATTTATATTTTTATCTTCCTTTTAACTCTGGTTTGGCCTTTTGGTTATTCTGGCCAAGTCAGATTCATATCTCATACAATCAGTTGTGTCATGCCATGTTAACATGGGCACAATACATAAAGTAGGAAGTAGCTAGAAAGTAATATATTTTTATACATTAAAGCAGCACATATGAATAAATAAGTTTCTGTACAAATATACAAGAATAAGGGAGATGTACAATGCTACTCATATTGTTGAAGAATTTACCAAATTTGTCACACAACTTTGAGAGAGAATAAATAATTAAACAAAAAACTAAGATATCACACAAGTATTCTTGAAAATCATTTATTTCAAAGCCTGAAAGATTAATCATGTCAGAAAGACAATTAGTGGGAAAATATATATACAAAGAAGAAGGAAGTCTCGACATGATTTGCATTGATCTTAAGAAAACCTACAATAGAGATCATAAAGATTTATTGTGTTGGATCATAGAAAAATGGCAATTAGTTGTTATATTGAAGTAATAAAAGTGATGTATATAGAGTTATTATAAATGTTAGGACTATAGGATTACCCTAGAAATGTGCATCAGAGGTTTGCTTTGAGTCCTTTAACTCTTCACTTAAAAACGACAAATGGGTTCTGCAGATTTGTCAAATTGCTCTTAGAAAATAGGGGGCAATGCAGTTATATTGATGTGATAAAAGCTGTGTAATACAGTTGTCATTAGTTCCAAGAAAAAAAGAGTTGTCACCAGTGTTTGAATTATAGGAGTTCCTAGAGATTTCCCTATAACACTAAATCTAAGTCAAGGATATGCCTTTAGTCCTTAAATTCTCACTTTAGTAAATGGATGGATTTATTGGTAACATACATTATAAACTTTCATGGTGCATGTTGTTTGCTGATGAAATTTAATTCGATTAATATTAAACTTGAGCTTCAGTGACAAACACTAAAAACTAAGCATTCTAAACTAAGTAGGTCAAACAAAATACACCAACTGTAATTTCAGCTATATCAAGACAACAGTAAGACGTATAGTTAAGATTTAAGAAAGCTAAGAAAATTCTAGAAGTAAAAGTTTTAGGTGCCTTAAATCTATTATTCTACAGGAAAAAGAGACTAATGAAGACATAATTCAGAGTTAAAGAAGGAACAGTTAAATTGTAGAGGATCATCATGAGTTATGCTTGATCATTGTGTTCCCCTTAGGTTGATTGTTATATAACATACAACCACTGTTCTCAATAATTCTATCAGTTATGCAGTGAGAAAAAACATATGCAAAAGATCAATGATGCTGAAATGGGATTGTTGAGATGGATTGATGAAGTTATTAAAAAACATAAAGAAAAAAATGTTTACACACATGAATAATAATTATAGCCTCAATAGAAAATAAAAATGATCGAGAAGCTACTAAGGTGGCATGGAGATGTCTCAGAAAATTTTAGATGTTAAAATTAGATAGCGGAGTTAATTAAGATAAATGCTAAGAGGAGAAATAGAGGAACATAAGAAAAAATTACTAGAAACAACGAAAAGATAAATTTGCACTGGGTTTGACAAGTGATGTTGCCCTAAACAAAGCTTCATATGTAGCCAACCTCAAAAGGTTGACGATGAAAATCAGGCTAAATTTCAAAGATGTGGAAAGAAAAAGGGTCGAACCGAATCACTTTGAATTGATGGTAAACTCAGGTTCGGGTTCAATTGACATTTTAGGGTTGCAACGTGACAACATCTTGCACAATTACTATCTCATTTCCTAGATTGATAATAAAGTAGAAAAAGAAAATAAATAAGAGAATATTACAAGAATCATCTTTCGAAAAAGGATGATCATCATGCACAAAAAAGGAAAATTATTCTACAAAATCATCATCTTGCAAGAAAAGAAGAATATCATACATAAAGGAAGATTATTTTACAAAACTATTCTGAAAACTTTTCTCAAAATATAACTAGATACTTTTATTTTTTATAAAAGTATTATAAAAAATAAAACTATAATAATTGTGGCCTATATAAAGAGGCTAAGCAACTTTTATATACAAAACTATTAAATCATCTTTAAGCAACTTTTATTTTCATCCTTTTTAGTTAACTTCTTTTTTTATTATAATTGTGGCCTATATAAAGAGGCTAAGCATTATAATAGCATCATCAAACCTTGAATGAATAATAGTTTTGTTTCCCACAAACTATGTGAGTGGAGTGAGGTCACAACTTTACCCTGATGCGAGTCAAAGAACTTGGAGCAAGTCCACAATTATCTCCTACTTTTCTCTCCCCTCAGCTAACTTACAACGAAGACCCATAAATCAATCTCTCATCATCAGAAGTCAACCATAAGGATGCCAAAGTGCTCCTTGATGATCTTGGTATGCGCTGAACTTCAGCTTTTGTTCTTTATTACTTAAATTAATATGTCTACAAATCAAGTTTCTCTCACCTCCACTCTCTCCCCGTTTTAGCGTTTTTTATTTACCTACCCCACCATTTCTCTTCATATTAAGCATCCCTTTTAGGGTTGTCCTACATCAGTCGAGACATTATAATTTTTTTTTGTTGTAGCATGCATAGCCCAATGATCCTTTTAATGATGGCAGGTATATCCAAGAGGATTTAAAGTCTAGAATATTCCAAAGGGTACAATAAATTATAGTTGTTCAGTAAAAGGATCATTTTAAACAAAATATGAAAAATTATGGCCTATTGCCACACAAAAAAAATCATTGCCTTTCAGCTATATCTAACATAATAAGCCAGATTTTCAAGTCAAATTTCTAGAAAGGATGTGACACCCTGAGATTTTGAGAAGGCACCAGTATTAAATTCTTGATTGTTCCACCAATCATAAAACCAAGCATATACTCTTTAGTCTTTATACCATCAAATGTTCACTATGTGCAACAAAAAGCAAATAAGTTATAAGAAAACATCCACCAGTTAAGGGGGACAACTGAATTCATTAAATGTTATGACTTACTACTAGATGAGACCTCCTGAAGTCCTATTTGTGATTGAACAAATTGCTTCTGCTGCTCAATTGCATTCTGGGAAAGCAAACCTGAAGCTTGAATTCTTTGTTGCATCTCTCGTTGCATGGAACTTGGATGTTGTTGCACCAGTTGCTGTTGCAATGATGCAGGCTGAGATTGGAACTGAGAAAGCAATTGCTGCTGTGATGATTGATGTTGGGGCTGTTGACCTTGTGGTTGCAGCATTGCCAGTGGTGCCTGCTGGTTTTGCTGCTGCTGTTGTATTGTGGTCTTTGGTTGTTGATGTATATGCATAGGGCGCTGATGTGGCTGCATATTTGAGACATTAGATAAAGACCCAAGTATTTGCTGCTGCTGCTGTTGTTGCTGCTGTTGTTGAAGCCCTGACATGTTACTTTGGTTGCCTAACTGCTGTTGTTGATGTTGATTCAACAAATGGTGGGGCTGTTGCATGTTTAAAAGATTATTCTGTTGAATTGACACTCTCTGTGATTGTTGCATCTCTGTGGCACTCGTTTGTTGCCCAATTAATTGGGTCTGTTGGACATTTGAAATATTTGTTTGTTGACCTATTATTTGCTGCTGCTGATGCTGCTGCATGGGTAAATTTGATTGCTGAGGTGCTGAAGTTGGCTGTTGCTGCATTGAAGTTGATTGTTGAAGCATGGCAGACTGTGATTGCTGTTGTTGTCTGGCAATTGATTGTGGATGTTGCTGAAGCAAGGAGGGGGCAGATTTCTGAACAGTACTTAGCTGATTTTGTTGAAGGCCAGGTTGTACAGCTGACTGGATTGCTCCAGGCTGTGTCTGCTGCATGGCGGACTGGCCTGACTGAAAATTGGACCCGATCTGCATCAGAGGCTGCTGAGAAGATTGCAGTTGGGTTGTTTGCATCAGAGATTGCTGCTGCTGAACATGCGGTTGCAAGAGTGAAGATTGTTGAAATTTCTGCTTCATATACTGTTGTTGAAACTGATGCTGGTATAGAAGTTGATTTTGTGTTTGATGCTGCTGTTGAGAAATAAGTTGTTGCTGTTGTTGCCTTCCTTGCATCGGCCTTTGTGTGTTTGAATAAAGATCTGGTGCTGCAGTTTGTCCCAGAGAGTTGTTGGCAGAGTTTTGTGATATGCCAGGCATGTTCTGTAGGTTAGATATCTGGCTAACACCAGATATGTTGGACTGACTAAGGCCTGTGATGGATGATAATGCAGAGGAAAGATTGGCAGGATTTTGTGCCATAGCCAAAGTGTTGTTCTGAATATTCTGGGACAAAATTTGTTGCCTTGCTGAAGGTTGATTCACCATAGAGACAGATAATGGTTGCCCTTGGTTGGCTTGTGATTGTACACCAAGCAATGCTATCAAGGAAGCATATTTGGTAAGTCCCAAGAAGTTTGAACCCTCAAAAAATGAATTTCATGTCTACAAGTTCCAAGCCTCCAACCACAGCTTTTACTTTAACAAACCTTAGATTAATATGCTTTCTTCAACTTCTTATAGGGATGGCTCTGGGAATAAAATCTCAGTCACATTAACAAACATTTACTTGCTGCAACACAAATGGTGCCCAGCCATGACTTACTACATGACACCATGATGTCCTGATGCTAGTCATATGTGAGTCACATGCCCATGTGGCCATGACACTTGATGCAGGCCACATCTAGTGAATATTCCCCACAGTAACATATGCTGGTTGGGCAATGAGGTTTGTGGTTTCTATTAGTTGTCCTCATTCCTCATGAATATTTATATAGAAGGTGTAGCTTCAACTAGGTTGCAAGTCCTTGTTGAACTATCTCATATGTGCTACTACATATGTTGAGCCAAGGAATAAGGATTGCCTCTTTGTGGCATGGGAGTCTCCTATGTCTTTCTAGCATTGCTAGATTACATGTCATGTCAGTCCACACCTTTCTATCAGCTAGCACAGCCAAAAAGATAGCTTAGCAATAGTTCAACACCTTCAGCATAGTGCAGCATGGTGTGTGCCTACACCTTTCTTATGTGGTAAATCTTTGAAGACAAAATGTAAAAATCATTCCAATACATTTACCTTTTCTGGAAAATAAGCAGAAACAATCCCATGTTTAATGAAGGATTTTCATATCTCTAATGGTTTATCAACACTGAAATGTTCAAGTACCTAACCCATATATGAATACCACTCATCTTATCATTATCAGGTGACTTAAACCAGTAAACAAAATGCTAAATGAGCATCAGCACTGTTGGGAAACCTTGGGGAGTATCACATGTGCAGTGGAAAGTGAAAACAAAAACTGATTTCCCAAAACAATCTTATTGAATCGTCGTGCGATGATCGGAAGCGAAAAACTCGAAAGCGATAAAACCGCCTAAGGGGTGTGAGACGTTCTCACCTAGGAGAAATCGTATATCCCCTAATCTATAGATCTCGGTTTGTGGATGAAGGAGCTCTTGCAAACTCCTCTCTAGCGGTGATTCACACAGCGGATGCGGCAATGACGCACCTTCTGGTGCAGCATGTTCTTTCCTCGTGTTCGCGCATCACCACACCGCAGCAACCGAGGGGTCGATCTCTCTTGCTATCCTCTCGCACCACACCAGAGAGGGACAGTCGACTGGAGGAAGAAGTAGGGAGGAGATGAAAGAGGTGGTGACAATAGGGGTCTAGCCTATGATCCCTTTAAGCCCCAACTCCTATATATAGAGAACCCTCTTTACTTACCCTAATGGATCCTGCCTTAATAGGTACTGAATCTCCATCCAATTATCCTGGCTTAATGGATATTGGATCCCTGTCCAATAATCACTCTAAACCCTATTGGGTCTCACCCAATGGATCCAATAAAATAGAGGCTTATTGGATATCTCATATTTAATCCTCTACTCATCGTGTTGTCCACCATATGTGTATAACCCTCTAGGCTCAATATTGAACTGGCCGTGAGTTGCACTTGCCAAAACTCATTTTGACTCAGCGAATTATTATCCCCATAATAATTCACTCAACTCATCGACCATGGATGTACTAAGCCACTATGTCATAGTCCCTAGACGATACTGAGAGATCTAATACATTGGACCTATCTGCCCTCAGTTACCGTGTATCTATAGTCCCTCGTTTATCTAATATCCCTGAGATCGTATACAGGGCATGGTACAGTCATGCCCATACGAAATCCATCAGAGTCTTACTCTAATCAGATTCTCCTGGAGAACTCCTCTCTAAATCCGAATCTTGCGCTTATTGGATTCATCACGATCTGATCGACCGTGGTTAGGGATTTGCTTGAGTGAGAGCACATAGGATATTCCTCTCATGATACCGAGAGTGGATGATCCTCTATTGACACTCGTTTGCCTTCACAAGGTGGGCTATCATTCCCAATGACCGAATGTACTAGATCTGAAACTTTTAGACTTATAAGTCTAATATTAAAGAATGAAGTACTCAAACAAGACATCCTTGGTGTCTCAAGTCTAAGGACCAGATTCACAACTGGAACTACGGAATTACTATCTGACGATAAGATATCATTAACCGACCAGCATTCTATAAGCGGATCATTCAGTGAACTCATTCTCCAATGAGCACATGTACAGTGTCCCTACACAAGCAGCTATGAGACAAGCTGCCTCCATCATATGAACAGGTATATAGCACATCAATCTGTCCAGTTATCTCGATGTCCCTCTCGAGTAACCTACGACCAAGAATATTTAGGGTCTGTGTTTAAAGGCGAATCATTATATCATGATCTTATAATGATCCAATTCTCATTGCACAGGTCGAAGGACATAATAATATATTTATCATCCAATATAAAATGAGAAAATATCATAAAAATAATAACAAAAAAGATTATGTAGCATGTCACATGTGTCATCACTTATGTGATTGACTTACAGAGCACCTGTAACTAGCAAACACTAGGTAGGTGGTATCTGTTACAGTTTCAAACTCACATACAGGAATTGAAACATAGTTTAATTGATCAATGTGCACCATGTCAATACGATATAGTCATAGTCCCACACCTATACTATTGCAACAAACAATCTGTAGGTACCAAATATATGTGTAAATTCTTTCATCCAAAATAAAATGTTTCCTAGATAGACCTTTTAAAAATATATTTTAAAAATAGCTCTTTTTATAATAATTAAAAAATAAACATCATTTTTTATGATTTAGGGAAGCCTAAAATTATTGTTGTGAATAACATATTTTGTTTTGGGAACAATGATATTGTGACTAGCAGTTTTACCGAAATCACTTTACGATAGCGATTTCACACGTTAGATTGGAAATTATTGTCAGAGTTATCATTTCTTTTGCACAAAAAATGTCATTATAATTAGAGCTATGACACATGTAAGACTGCTTTAACATCCTCTAGGAAATATTTTTTAAAAAGGTGTTATCAAGGGAAAAGCTTCCCAGAGTAATTCCAAATTCACAAGTTCAATGAACCTATATCTCCCATTTGAAGCTTAAATTCTTGAACCTTGTTTCGTAATATAAAATAACAAAAAGAGTTCACAGACTTTGTACATGATTATAGTTCATTATGCACATCAATATTTACTCATAAATAAAAATACACTGATTTTATGGAGAACATAAACATTAACAAATTTTGACCTAGCAAACTTATTTTCAAGTAAGGGTCATAGTTACATGAAGCCTCATCTAGTTTAAATGCCAAACCTCACAATTAAGTAATATTGAGATGCACATCCAAAACTTAACTACCACTAACAAGTTTTCAATTGAAAGATTATAATTGTGTAGGGCCTGCAGAATATATAACGTGAAAGAAGCATATCCCCCACAGACATTGTCAACTAATTATAATCATTTAAATGAACATTTTAATTATGGAATGGAAAAGTCATTTGAGTAAGCACGATAATGTCTTAGCCGATTAGCTAGCATTTCCAATCTAAAAGATGTAACAAAATAATTTTGCCTTGTAATATATCTGAGAGGAATCGTATCATTTTTATTGCTATTGCTTATAACCGTAAGCCATCAATCAAATTTAAGTGTACAAGTTGTTATTTGATCCAGCTAGAATTTAGTGTGTCTTCCCGATGTCATACTTCACAAATATCAGCAAATCACCTATTTACCACATTTCTAGAGTATCTACTACTCAAAAATAATAGTTTGTGGCAAGGTTTGTTGTACCACAACGTACCGTGTGTTGGTATGGGCGGTATATACCGGTCCGACAAGGGACCGATATGAGTGAGACGTTAGTATGGCCTCATGTACCGTATGTTGGTATGCTCAATATGGCTTGGTACAGCTAAGTACGTATCATATTGATAGTTTATTGGTACACCAATATGGATCGGTAAAACGAACCTTGGTTTGTAGTCAGAGGCCAAGATAATTAAAAAAATATGGTTTTATTTCCTAGTATACTGCATCTTCAAATTCAATATACACAAAACATTAAATTTTAGCATATGACTCTTTCAACTCTCCTGTATGTTCTTTTGGCCTCAGAATCAATATAAATTGATTTATTTGCCAACACTTAAAGTCCCCTCACTACATAGTAAATAAACCAGTTTAGGGTGACAGCATGTGCCAAATGACTTCGACCAATTTCTTTTCTGCACAGACTTTTAAAATCCAGTGAAACATTTGGTGGATCACTGGATTGTTCTTTATCTAAAAGGCTTCAAATGTTTAAAGCTAACAAATAAATAATAATAAGGTCCACCTCTCCAGAAAAGGCCGTCATTCGAGAGGAGGCAGCTTCCCAGCCAGTCCAACTTGCCTAGCAAGTTATATTAATATACAACCAGCTTCAGATGATTGTATACCTCCTCAGTTATATTAATGTATCAGCAAGGACAAAAAGTAAATACTCGACCACAACAGCAATTTAGAACAATGTAAAAGAAGTTCAATTTAAACAACTCAAGTTCCAGGTTTTATAAAGTATAATCCAGTCAAAACCATGACAAAATTATCAAATAATAGCACAGCTCTTGTCAAAGTAAGAACACTGAAGAACTTACAAAGAGATGAAAATCAAGAAAGATGAAAGATCAAACACCTAGATGACAACAAGATAAAAGATGGGCACAGGATGGTGTATAAAATCTTCAATAACTTCAAAGTCTGGCAAATGTCATTTAAACACTCGAGAACCACAGAGAAGTACACAGGACAAAATAAAAAAGAATCTATAGATTCATTTTATATGAAAAAGAATGAAGATAAGTAGTAATATTATAATATACACAATACACAAAAGGATAGAAGTAAACAAAATTGACTGTGATATTTTGAATAAAATATATCTTATCCATAATTCAGAATGTCTAATTTGTACAGAAAAGAAAGCTTTTCAAGGTACCTACCTGGGTCTGCAGAATTTTGGTTGAGAACTGCGCTGTTGGATATTGAAGGGTTAATTGAAGCAGAATGCTGAGACTTATTCTCCATTGAAAGCATTTTTAGAGAAATTTTCCTCAAATAATCAGGCTGAGAAATTAGAAAGAAAAAAATATTTCATACAGTGCTTACTGTTCATACCAATAAGCAAGAATAAAGAAATAGATTTTTTTCCATTGGATTCTGAAAGACATATATGGTACAGATCCAAATTAGTCATGCAAAATGCTCAAGAGTAATCTCATCCACAGCCTATTAACACGTACTGTTTATTTATCAAGCTTATAGCCAGTAAGCATCATGTTTTTCTTAAGGATGAAATTATAACAAACAACAAATTCGGGTACTTGAATGCAACAAAAGAGCTACTATGGGCAGCAAGAGAGCACTACAAAAGGCTATTTTTTGTGCTTCTTCATTTTCCAGCATGTAAGAAGACTATTCATAAAAATATTATCAATAGACGAAAAAGGCAAATACTACCAAAACATTGTCATCAAACCAAAATGTAAATACCACCAAAACAAGCAACGACCACAAGGTTTCAAAAACCAGTCTGGTACTGTTTTTAGCAAAAGGTCAGACTAGCATAGTACTAATACACTGTACAATATGCTTAACTGTACAACCCGGTAGCATAAAAAATTTAAAAAATTTAAATGCCAACTAGTATTGCACCTTAGTTAGAGCGATAAACACCAGTCTATATGTACTGGTCCAACCAGCATTTCAAACATTGGTTGAGAACGCACCTAACAAGGGCAAAGCAATGACCAAGATTAAAGACATTGGTAAATTTACCTGATTAGAAGCTGCAGTATATATCTTCTCCTCAAACCGAATAGCAATTTTCTGAAGTTCATTTATGCCCTCGGGCACAGAGATAGGCAGGTGCCTCTTCAAAGTTTCCATTCTACATATAGAGAACATTGAACTCTTACAAAGTGAAAATTATGAACAGAATAAATTTTGAGAACCAGGAGAAAGACAAATGAATGAGAACCACTAACTGATCAACAGAATTTTTTCCAAAATTGCACATGCTATAGTGTGAACAAATAGTGTATGAAACTCTAATAAAGCGAGTGGAAAAAAGAGTAAAAATATGAAACAAGACTTCTTAAGACTTTTTCTTTTAAATCAATGCCAGTACCAGTACATACCTTCCGCTTTGTACTAGTCCAGTACAAATCCATACAAAAACAAAGAAAACAAAAACACCAATTAGGGCCCACAAGTGTGAGCCCTCTTCTCGTAAGCCACATGGAACCAATGCTGTCATTGTTGTTCACTGTCACCAGTCCCTAGTACGCTCCCCCCTCTTCTCCTCCTCTTCCTCCATGACCACCCCTTCATCCTTCCTCCTCCTTCCTCCAGCGCATCCTCTTCTTCCTCCTCTACTGTTGCTTCCTCTTCCCCTTCTTCTTCGTCTTCGAAACACTGATCGATACCAATGCACCATGTGTCGGTATCACATGATAAGCTAGTATTCACCGGTACATACCGGTCCGACCAACAACCCATATGGGTCCGGTACACGATATGGCATTCCTTGGCCAACACTAACTAAAACTGGCATGTGATGGAAAACCGAGAGCAAAAGAATTATCGATTATATCAACCAAGAAAAGGTATATGATAGGGACTCCAGTGTAACTAGCATAGTGACTAATGACTAACAAAAAGCCATGAGTATACATTATATGTCAGTATAGCCATGACTATACATTATATATCAGTATCTGATCCACAAAATGCATGATGGATCACTTTTCAGTGTCAAATAAAAGTTTTAAACAATTATGTTCTTTTTTTTACAATAGACTTACTCGATATATTTGAACTCACGAGTTCAGATTACCTTCCCAAGCATGTTCCAATGATGTTCCAACAATGTATATTATTTTGCTAATTTATTTTATTTTAGTAAAAGCAGAATCAGCCTAAGTTCCAAGTTAGAAGTTAGTAACTACAGAAAAAAAAATTTCTGTAGTATCATGAAATATAGAGCTAAAGATATGGGAAAAGAATGATGAAGCCATTAGTAACGTTAAACATAGAGCTAAAGATACAAAAAATACAAAGATAAGTTTACAGGAAACAAATATGTACATTGTTTACACTTTGAATTTATTTACCAAAAAGGAAAGCTTGAAGATGTCTCTTATATAGAAAGAGCGGGATAGTCAAATTGCAGACATCTCTGGTATAGTGCACCCATCAAGTGCAAATCTAATTAACAGATACAAACTTCAAAATTTAGCCTCAAGATAACTCATGTTCACCGTACTGTTGGACAATTAGGCATAGTTTGTGTTATTGTGGTATTACTAGATTCTCATACGATACATCTGATCCATATCCAAATCATCCTAGGCAAATTCGATTTTGATTGAATTCTTTGTTATATGGCTGCATTAAGTAACTCTTTACCGCCCACACCATTATGGTACTGGTGGTATTTACCAGTCCAACTGGTAGCCAAGCCTCATACCACTCTTTACCAACAGATTCAAGACCAGTTGAAGGGGTTATCACCATAACCCCCTTGTACAGGACTTACCACTAAATACAGATCCATTACCAGGCGATAAACCCACCCAGATATGATGTGCCCCAACGAAACCCATTGGGGGGGTCTCGTTGGGCACTTTAAAATCACCCACCCACCCCAACCAGCCCACCCCCCAAATGCCAAATCTCTCAAAACTTCATTGAAGATCACTAAGGGAGGTTGATTTGTAACATAGGAAGATTGAAATCTCAAGATCTGGTCTGATTTCTTTCCAAATTAAGATAAATCTGAACCTAATCAGTAAGATACTTTCATGCAATTAGGTTGGGGCTTATGTTTATTCTTCCTTTCTTAGCTTGGATCTCTTCCATTTAGAAAAGCAATTACAACGTAGTTCAACTTTCATACGATCCTAGCACATACAACCAAAGGTCCATGATACCGAAGCATGTTGTCCTCCCAACCCAAGAGAGATACGTGACACATCTAGATGAGGATTTCAAAGAGCTTAGAGACTGGAATAAATTATTCAAAAAACAAAGAGGCCTGACCTTTATGGTGTCACAATGATGTCAGGGCCAGCAAAAATGAGCATCATCAACTTCCTTGCTTATTTCAACAAGATAGTTTTTCTTAAGTCACTTGATGCATCTGACAAGATCTATTAAGCGAATGATAAAGCGGCAAATTTCAAGGGGGCCAATCATCAACGTAGGTTGATACGGAGACCGAATTCTTCCTATTTGCTATCACACACCATAAATGCTACCTAAAACAGTATGCTTCCAAAAAATGATATTTTCTTTTCTTAAAGATCTACGGATGGATAGTTAATTGGCTGGACAAAAAACCTGAGTGGTACCTGTTTCTCAAATTGGCTATTTCTCCATCTCCAGAGATGAATAGATCCTTCACGATGTAAAGTACTCGTTGATTTGGAACCATGCCTTATGTTATCTTTCAATTCTCTCCCAAAAATATTTACCCAATCCATCCCCCTTCCCCAATAAAAGCATGAGCCTCTATGGAAATCTGTATCGGCCACATAGACAGTGAAAGATGTATAGGAATCTTAACTGTATCCCATTTGAAAATCCAAAGATATCAGAGATCAAACTTTCTCCCCCCTCAACAGACTCAACGACCTCTGCTTACTACACGCAATAAGAAAGATCCCATTTTGAACTTTCCCGCACAGCTCCCTCTTAGTTCCAATCATACAATCCACCAACAGTTTACTAATATGATATCATGTAAAATTTCCTGGTCGGATACAAAACCAATTTTTTGAGTATTCCTCAGTCACAGCCTATGATACAAGAAATGAAATCGAGACCAGAACCCTGAGAGATCAACCCTTTGGACATGTCATAAGCACGCGTATTTGCATAGGTGGTACGATGTGATCGATTAATGAATATCAAAATTTGAAACGAAGTTTAAGTGGATAGAGAGGTGACTAAAAGAAAATTTGACTCGTTTCTCAAGGAAACGACGAGTTCATTATCGAAAGAAAAAGACCGCCGTGCAAATTACACGAACAAAAACCCTAACAAGATAATAACAACAACAATAATATTTTTTTCTCAAGTGCTTTAGATTTTTCACATCCGAACCACAGAAGGACCTTAATCTCACCCAAAAGGCTGCTATAAATTCAAAAATATCGACCAAAATCGAGCGATGATAGACGCCTTCACATCAGGAAAACCAAGAAAACTTTGAGGAAGAGGAAATAGTCCACTTACATCTTATTTACAATCCTGTGCCGCGCCTCCGGCTGGAGTTGGGTCCTCCAGTCGCCGGATCCCCCATCCGAGGCGGCGGCGCTCTCCCCCTGAGCCGGCCTCCAACTATTCCCCTCCATCGGAAGGATCTAAAGCACGCACCCCTCAAATTGAGATCTCAGAGCCGGGGAAATCAAAGGAGATGGGAATCCGCGGGGAAATCGATTCGGCAACAACGAAAAAGTGGGTTGCCGAGGACGAGCGAGAAACGTGCGAAGAGCCGAGAGAGAGAGGGGGGGCGTTGAAAGAAAGCTTTGGGGGAAGGGAGGAATCGTGCGGTGGGGGATTCCCTTCAAACATCGAACACAGCAGCCGAGAAGAAAACTACTCCCTCCCACCAATACCAGTAGTCCGATGCTGACGAATGAGCAAATTATTTATGGGACATGCACTCCATGTTTCTTCACCCCATCGACAAGTTCCAATCGCCGCTAGAATAATGGCACACTTGTTTCAGATATATACCCAGCGAATCTGCGCTCAGCACCTTTTTGAGGCCGCCTGCTTCTTAATTTGCCCCCTTCTAAAAGAAAACCTGGTCGCCACTTTGCAATGGGTCGGTCCTCCAAAATAATACTCAACAATCAATCACCTATAGGTTTGAGAATTACCAATGTAGTTTAATGATAGACATAGGTGATTTTTTAAAGAATAAATAATAAATATAATATTCGAGTTAAGATCCTATGATAAATTGTCATAATTTTTACTAATTAAATTAGCTGACATTTTTAGTTTCAGATATAAAAGAATTTATATTAGTGAATTTTTAAGATCTCATTTATCGGGGTTGAGGTGTCATTTTCTTATGACGATGGATGAGTGTTACGGAGACATATAGATGATATCTTTTAAAAAGATATAATAATTAATATAAATGAGGTGAGAAGATATAGAGAAAAAAATATATATATTTAAAAAAATTAACTTAAAAATATTTTACATAGAGTTAGATATTTAAATATTTATATATAAGAAATTTAAATATTATTACAAATAGATAATTTCCCTAAAAAGATCTCCATTTTAGCTTTATGAAAAGATATCCCAATTTTTTTTTTATTTAATATTTTTTCATCTAATATCCCAATATTTTTTCATCGTGAGGCTTCATCATTTTTGTGTGATTGAATATAATAAGAAGAAAAAATAAGATAAGACGTAGAAGACTATGTTGAGAGAGCATGTCAAAACGATCATATGGAGGCGATCGATCTTAGGCGATCATGTAGAGGCAGTGGGCAACAATGAAGAGCATTTAGGGCATCAAAGGAAAAAAAAGATATTAAATAAAAAAATAAAAAAATTGGGGGACACCTTTCGAAAAAAAATCAAAAAGATCGATTTTTTCAGAAATCATACTATTACAATTATCATAAATATAAAAATAATAATAAGTATTCAAAAAATAATAAATAAAAAACATTTATTATAAGCAATAATAAGTTAAATTTTCATTCCTTTATTGTCATTAATGTGATAATTTATGTATTTATAAAAAAGTTATCGATGTTTGTTTCTTGATCTATGCTCTTTTTTTATACTGATTTTATCTTGGAAACAATTTAATACATCTTTCAACCGATTGGAGTAATTTTTTTGAATTTTTTAAATTATAAATCTTACTTTATCCCCCAACAAAAAAAAAGAATTGTAAATGGTGCAGACACTAAGAGCAAATCATTGTATAGAAATCGAAAAGTAGTGTGAAAAATCCTTTTTTTATAAATTATCTATGCTATTCAAAAGGAATAAAAATGATAAAAGATATGTAACATGACGAACATCATACGTTGGATAAATTAAGATCAAAATTCAAAATTCAAAAGATAAAAAATTCAAATATAAGAAAATAAAAATAAACTAAAGATAAATTAAGATAAAAGGGAATAAACGAACATTAAAGTTTTAAATGGAAGCAAATAAAAAAGACTAAAAAAATAAAAAGTCAATCATGACAAATAAAATAAAATAAGAAAAAGAATATAGTATTTTTTAATCTATGATAAGAAATAATTAAGTTTGGTAATCAGTATATATTATTTTTTACATATTAAAATCTTAACTAAAATAAATCTATATAACAATACAGGTCTTGATTTAAGCTCTTTTAAATGTATACAAATATTTTTCATCGACGTTCAATAAACAAAAATTAATTTGATCGATGAAAGAATCCGATTGGACATATCCGATATAGTCTTTTATTGAAACGAAATAAGGGTTATTAAATACAAGAATTTCAATTTTAGGTACAGAGAGATTCTCTATCGATTGCATTCTCCATCTACTTAAGAACCCTCTCCAAGCACTATAAAACTGAAAGAACAAATCAAGTCGAATCGATTACACGGCACTCAATTGATGATCAAAATTGAATACACCAAATCTTAATTCCAAACTCTTGAAACATCACAGTTTAAACATCATGGGAAAGGGCACTCCTGAACATCACCTGCCAACAAAGATTGTCATGACTACCATATTCCCAAAGGAAAAGCTAAACTGATGATCAATGGATGGACAGTTCGAACCATCCGATAAACAATTAAAGAAATTAGTAATGTCTGTTCGATGACGAACAATACGGATCCATTAGGTTGTTATTTTCAACCACTCAGCACAATAAAATGGTGATTGTTCAACAATTAAAAAGGACAACAGTCAGTTATTTTTATTATGATACGATCCATAGAAGAGAAACTAAGCTTAGTAACTTCGCCTACGTGCCCCCAAGTTTTGGGTGGTTTCCTACTGATTGCGGCTCGAGCACCAGAGAGCAGCACCGAAACAACACCATCTTATCCCACAAGCAAATATTCTTATAAATACATGAAAAAATACTGGCCAACATGGTCAGCATTTATAATTAGAGAGCAAATTTTGATGCAGAGCAATATCAGAATCCTGTCAAAAAAAATTCCGGATAGAAATTTCGGCAACTCTGTCACAAGAAGATACACTGCAACTAATCATAAGAGGAATACAGAATGGACTATTTGACAAGTCTGTCCACTTTTAGTTATCACAATAATGTAGCATATCAGTCTAATGCTGTACTTCACTACGTTTATATTCAATTGCAATTTCCAAACAAGTTTAAAAAGGTGTAAATAAGTAATTGATTTACAAACATTTATCGAGTTTACACCAGAAACATGAAGCGATTACTCTTATATCCCGTTGCCAGTTGCTTCTTGATCCAAGGCTCCACCTCAAGTTAAAAGCTTCGTAGCAGATACTTCTCAGTGGCAATCCTAGTGTCTTAGCAATCTTACAAATATGTGAAAAACAAGTTAGTGCAGCACTTGAAAACTACAAGATCATGGATGATAAATGGAAATAAGTCAAAATTAGATTGGAAGGAAACAAAAATCTCTAATGGATTGTGAATCTTTGCTCTCAGTTGGTTATGATTATGCCGAGAAAACATTGGTTGCATATAACTTTTCAGGTGACAACCAGGTTTCTTTAATTATGTGGAGACATGCTGAAAATTCACAACATTTGAATACCAGGTCAAACGAATTCAAAGAGAAAACACTCGGTTGCTGACGGGTCATATGTTGTTAAAAGTTAAAACAGTACTACCCATAAAGGCCCAAATGCAAAAAATCCAAATACTAAAACACCTAATGCTAGAACAAAGAAACAAGTGCATCTAGCTAAATTAAATGCAGAGGAAAGATTGGCAGGATTTTGTGCCATGGCCAAAGTGTTGTTCTGAATATTCTGGGACAAAATTTGTTGCCTTGCTGAAGGTTGATTCACCATAGAGACAGATAATGGTTGCCCTTGGTTGGCTTGTGATTGTACACCAAGCAATGCTATCAAGGAAGCATATTTGGTCAGTCCCAAGAAGTTTGAACCCTCGAAAAATGAATTTCATGTTTACAAGTTCCAAGCCTCCAACCACAGCTTTTACTTTAACAAACCTTGGATTAATATGCTTTCTTCAACTTCTTATAGGGATGGCTCTGGGAAAAAAATCTCAGTCACATTAACAAACATTTACTTGCAGCAACACAAATGGTGCCCAACCACGACCTACTACATGACACCATGATGCCCCGATGCCAATCATATGTGAGTCACATGCCCATGTGGCCATGACACTTGATGCAGGCCACATCTAGTGAATATTCCCCACAGTAACATATGCTGGTTGGGCAATGAGGTTTGTGGTTTCTATTAGTTGTCCTCATTCCTCATGAATATTTATATAGACGGTGTAGCTTCAACTAGGTTGCAAGTCCTTGTTGAGCTATCTCATATGTGCTTCTACACATGTTGAGACAAGGAATAAGGATTGCCACTTTGTGGCATGGGAGTCTCCTATGTCTTTCTAGCATTGCTAGATTGCATGTCATGTCAGTCCACACCTTTCTATCAGCTGGCACAGCCAAAAAGATAGCTTAGCAATAGTTCAACACCTTCAGCATAGTTCGGCATGGTGTGTGCCTACACCTTTCTTATGTGGTAAATTTTGAAGACAAAATGTAAAAATCATTCCAATACATTTACCTTTTCTGGAAAATAAGCAGAAACAATCCCATGTTTAATGAAGGATTTTCGTATCTCTAATGGTTTATCAACACTGAAATGTTCAAGTACCTAACCCTTATATGAACACCACTCATCTTATTATTATCAGGTGACTTAAGCCAGTAACCAAAATGCTAAATGAGCATCAATACTATTGGGAAACCTTGGGGAGTATTACATGTGCAGTGGAAAGTGAAAACAAAAACTGATTTCCCAAAGCAATCTTATCGAATCGTGGTGCGATGATCGGAAGCGAAAAACTCGAAAGCGATAAAACAACGTAAGGGGTGTGAGACGTTCTCACCTAGGTGAAACCATATATCCCCTAATATGTAGATCTCGGTCCGTGGATGAAGGAGCTCTCGTAAACTCCTCTCTAGCGGTGATCCACACAGCGGATGCGGCAACGATGCACCTTCTGGTGCAGCACGTTCTTTCCTCATGTTCGCGCACCACCATGCCGCAACAACCAAGGAGGGGTCGATCCCTCTTGCTATCCTCTCGCACCACACCAGAGAGGGACAGTCGACTGGAGGAAGAAGCAGGGAGGAGATGAAAGAGGTCGCGACAATAGGGGTCTAGCTTATAATCCCTTTAAGCCTCAACTCCTATATATTGAGAACCCTATTTACTTACCATAATGGATCCTGCCTTAATGGGTACTGAATCTCCATTCAATTATCTTGACTTAATGGATATTGGATCCCTATCCAATAACCACTCTAAACCCTATTGGGTCTAACCAAATGGATACAAGAAAATAGGGAATTATTAGATATCTCATATTCAATCCTCTACTCGTGCGTTCTCCACCATATGTGTATGATCCTCTAGGCCCAATATTAAGCTGGCCGTGAGTTGCACTTGTCAAAACTCCATTTGACTCAGTGAATTATTATCTCAATAATAATTCATCGACCATTATCGTATTAAGCCACTATGCCATAGTCCCCAGACGTTATAGAGGGATCTAATCTATTGGACCTGTCTACCCTCAGTTACCGTGTATCTATAGTCTCTCATTTATCTAACGTCCCTGAGATCGTATATAGAGCATTGTGCTATCAGGGCCATACGAAATTTATCCGAGTCTTACTATAATTAGATTCTCCCGGAGAACTCGTCTTTGAATCCGAATCTCGCGCTTATCGGATTTATCACGATCCGATCGACCCTGGTTAGGGATTTGCATAAGTAAGAGCACACATGATATTCCTCTTATGATACCGAGAGTGGATGATCTTCTATTGACACTCAATTGTCTTCATAAGATTGACTACAATTCCCAATGACCGAATGTGCTAGATTTGGAACTTCTAGACCTATAAGTCTGGTATTAAAGAATGAAGTACTCAAACAAGGCATCCTTGGTGTCTCAAGTCTAAGAACCAGATTCACAATCGGAACTACGGAATCACTATTTGATGATAAAGTATTATTAAGCAACCAGCATTCCGTAAGCGGATCATTCAATAAACTTATTCTCCAATGAGCATCTGTACAGTATCCCCACACAAGCAGCTATGAGATCAGTTGCCTCCATCATATGAACAGGTATATAGCACACTGATCAATCCGATTATCTTGATGACCCTCTCAAGTAACCTACAACCGAGAATATTTAGGGTTTGTATCTAATGACGAATTAGTCACATTATCATAATCTAATCATGATCCAATTCTAATTGCACAGATCGAAGGACATCACAATATATTCATCATAAATATAAAATAAAAAAAATATTATAAAAATAATAACAAAAAAGATTATGTAGCGTGTCACATGTGTCATCACTTACGTGATTGACTTGCAGGGCACCTGTAACTAGCAAACACTAGGTAGGTGGTATCTATTATAGTTTCAAACTCACATACTGGAATTGAAACATGGTTTAATTGATCAATGTGCACTATGTCAATAGGATATAGTCACAGTCCCACACCTATACTATTGCAACAAACAATCTGTAGGTACCAAATATATGTGTAAATTCTTTCATCCAAAATAAAATATTTCTTAAATAAACCTTTCAAAAATATATTTTGAAAATAGCTCTTTTTATAATATTCATAAAAGAAACATCATTTTTTATGACTTAGGGAAGCCTAAAATTAATGTTGTAAATAGCATATTTTGTTTTGTGAGAAATGATATTGTGACAAGTAGTTTTACTAAAATCACTTTGCAATAGCAATTTCACACGTTAGATTGGAACTATTATCAGAGTTATCATTTCTTTTGCACAAAAAATGGCATTATGATTAGAGCTATGACACATGTAAGACTGCTTTGACATCCTCTAAGAAATATTTTTTAAAATGGTGTTATCAAGGGAAAAGCTTCCCAGAGTAATTCCAAATTCACAAGTTCAATGAACCTATATCTCCCATTTGAAGCTTAAATTCTTGAACCTTGTTTCGTAATACAAAATAACAAAAAGATTTCACAGACTTTGTACATGATTGTAATTCATTATGCACATCAATATTTACTCATAAATAAAAATACATTGATTTTATGGAGAACATAAACATTAACAAATTTTGACCGAGCAGACTTATTTTCAAGTAAGGGTTGTAGTTGCATGAAGCCTCATCTAGTTTAAATGCCAAACCTCACCATTAAGTAATATTGAGATGCACATCCAAAACTTAACTACCACCAACAAGTTTTCAATTGAATGATTATAACTGCGTGTAGGGACTGCAGAATATATAACGTGAAAGAAGCATATCCCCCACAGACATTGTCAACTAATTATAATCATTTAAATGAACATTTTAATTATGGAATGGAAAAGTCATTTGGGTAAGCACGATAATGTCTTAGCTGATTAGCTAGCATTTCCAATCTAAAAGATGTAACAAAATAATTTTGCCTTGTAATATTTCTGAGAGGAATCGTATCATTCTTTTTACTATTGCTTATCACCGTAAGCCATCAATCAAATTTAAGTGTACAAGTTATTTGATCCAGCTAGAATCTAATACGTCTTCCCTGTGTCATACTTCACAATTATCCGCAAATCACCAATTTACCACATTCCTAGAGTATCTACTACTCAAAAACAATAGTCTGTGGCAAGGTTCGTCGTACCACAACGTACCGTGTGTTGGTATGGGCGGTATATACCGGTTCGACAAGGGACCGATATGAGTGGGACATTCGTATGGTCACATGTACCGTATGTTGGTATGCTCAATATAGCTTGATACAACTCAGTACATATCATATTGACAGTTTGTTGGTACACCAGTATGGACTAGTAAAACGAACCTTGGTTAGTAGTAAGAGGACAAGATAATTAAAAATATATGGTTTTATTTCTTAGTATACTGCATCTTCAAATCCAATATGCACAAAACATTAAATTTTTAGCATATGACTCTTTCAACTCTCCTGTAAGTCCTTTTGGCCTCAGAATCAATATAAATTGATTTATTTGCCAACACTTAAAGTCCCCTCTCTACATAGTAAATAAATCAGTTTAGGGTGACAGCGTGTGCCAAATGACTTCGACCAATTTCTTTTCTGCACAGACTTTTAAGATCCAGTGAAACATTTGGTGGATCACGGGATTGTTCTTTATCTAAAAGGCTTCAAATGTTTAAAACTAACAAATAAAAAATAATAAGGTCCACCTCTCCAGAAAGGCCGTCATTCGAGAGGAGGCAGCTTCTCAGCCAGTCCAACTTGCCTAGCAAGTTATATTAATATACAACCAGCTTCAGATTATTATATACCTCCTCAGTTATATTAATGTATAAGCAAGGACAAAAAGTAAATACTCGACCACAACAGCAATTTAGAACAATGTAAAAGAAGATCAATTTAAACAACTCAAGTTCTAGGTTTTATAAAGTATAATCCAGTCAAAACCATGACAAACTTATCAAATAATAGCATAGCTCTTGTCAAAGTATGAACACTGAAGAACTTACAAAGAGATGAAAATCAAGATACATGAAAGATCAAATACCTAGATGACAACAAGATAAAAGATGGGCACAGGATGGTGTATAAAATCTTCAATAACGTCAAAGTCTGGCAAATGTCATTTAAACACTCGAGAACCACAGAGTACACAGGACAAAATAAAAAAGAATCTATAGATTCATTTTATATGAAATAGAATGAATATAAGTAGTAATATTATAATATACACAATACACAAAAGGAATGAAGTAAACAAAATTGACTGTGATATTTTGAATAAAATATATCTTATCCATAATTCAGAATGTCTAATTTGTACAGAAAAGAAAGCATTTCATGGTACCTACCTGGGTCTGCAGAATTTTGGTTGAGAACTGCGCTGTTGGATATTAAAGGGTTAATTGAAGCAGAATGCTGAGACTTATTCTCCATTGAAAGCATTTTTAGAGAAATTTTCCTCAAATAATCAAACTGAAAAATTAGAAAGAAAAAAATATTTCATACAGTGCTTACAGTTCATACCAATAAGCAAGAATAAACAAATATATTTTTTTCGATTGGATTCTGAAAGACATATATGGTACAGATCCAAATTAGTCATGCAAAATGCTCAAGAGTAATCTCATCCACAGCCTATTAACATGTACTGTTTATTTATCAAGCTTATAGCCAGTAAGCATCAGGTTTTCTTAAGGATGAAATTATAACAAACAACAAATTCTGGTACTCGAATGCAACAAAAGAGCTACTATGGTGCAGCAAGAGAGTACTACAAAAGGCTATCTTTTGTGCTTCTTCATTTTCCAGCATGTAAGAAGACTATTCATAAAAATATTATCAATAGACGAAAAAGGCAAATACTATCAAAACATTGTCATCAAACCAAAATGTAAATACCACCAAAACAAGCAACGACCACAAGGTTTCAAAACCCAGTCTGGTACTGTTTTTAGCAAATGGTCAGACTAGCATAGTACTAATACACTGGGCAATATGCTTAACTGTACAATCCGGTAGCATAAAAAAATTTAAAAAATTTAAATGCCAACTAGTATTGCACCTTAGTTAGACCGATAAACACCAGTCTATATGTACTGGTCCAACCAGCATTTCAAACATTGGTTGAGAACGCACCTAACAATGGCAAAGCAAAGACGAAGATTAAAGACGAATTGGTTAATTTACCCGATCAGAAGCTGCAGTATATATCTTCTCCTCAAACCGAGTAGCAATTTTCTGATGTTCAATTAAGCCCTCGGGCACAGAGATAGGCAGATGCCTCTTCAAAGTTTCCATTCTACATATAGAGAACATTGTGCTCTTACAAAATGAAAATTATGAACAGAATAAATTTTGAGAACCAGGAGAAATACAAATGAATGACAACCACTAACTGATCTACAGAATTTTTTCCAAAATTGCACATGCTAGAGTGTGAACAAATAGTGTATGAAACTCTGATAAAGTGAGTGGAAAAAAGAGTAAAAATATGAATCAAGACTTCTTACGACTTTTTCTTTTAAATCAATGCCAGTACCAGTACATACCTTCCGCTTTGTACTAGTCCAGTACAAATCCATACAAAAACAAAGAAAACAAAAACACCAATTAGGCCTCACAAGTGTGAGCCCTCTTCTCGTGAGCCACATGGAACCAATGCTATCATTGTTGTACACTGTCACCAGTCCCTAGTACGCTCCCCCCTCTTCTCCTCTTCCTCCACGACCACCCCTTCATCCTTCCTCCTCCTCCTTCCTCCAGCGCATCCTCTTCTTCCTCCTCTACTGTTGCTTCCTCTTCCCCTTCTTCTTCGTCTTCGAAACACTGATTGATACCAATGCACCATGTGTTGATACTACATGATAAGCCAGTAATGATCGGTACATACTGGTCCGACCAACAACCCATATGGGTCCGGTACACGATATGGCATTCCTTGGCCAACACTAACTAAAACTGGCATGTGATGGAAAACCGAGAGCAAAAGAATTATTGATTATATCAACCAAGAAAAGGTGTATGATAGGGACTCCAGTGTAACTAGCATAGTGACTAATGACTAACAAAAAGCCATGAGTATACATTATATGTCAGTATAGCCATGACTATACATTATATATCAGTATCTGATCCACAAAATGCATGATGGATCACTTTTCAGTGCCAAACAAAAGGTTTAAACAATTATGTTCCTTTTTTTACAATAGACTTACTCGATATATTTGAACTCACAAGTGCATATTACCTTCCCAAGCATGTTCCAATGAGGTTCCAACAACGTATATTATTTTGCTAATTTATTTATTTTTTTGGTAAAAGCGGAGTCAGCCTATGTTCCAAGTTACAAGTTAGTAACTACAGAAAAAAAAAAATCTGTAGTATCATGAAATATAGAGCTAAAGATATGGGAAAAGAATGATGAAGCCATTAGTAACGTTAAACATAGAGCTAAAGATACAAAAAACACAAAGGTAAGTTTACAGGAAACAACTATGTACATTGTTTACACTTTGAATTTATTTACCAAAAAGGAAAGCTTGAAGATGTCTCTCATATAGAAAGAGCAGGGTAGTCAAATTGCAGACATCTCTGGTATGGTGCACCCACCAAGTGCAAATCTAATTAACAGATACAAACTTCAAAATTTAGCTTCAAGATAACTCATGTTCACCATACTGCTGGACAATTAGGCATAGTTTGTGTTTTTGTGGTATTACCAGATTCTCATACGATACATCTGATCCATATCCATATCATCCGAGGCAAATTCGATTTTGATTGAATTCTTTGTTATATGGCTGCATTAAGTAACTCTTTACCGCCCACACCGTTATGGTACGGGTGGTATTTACCACTCCAACTGGTAGCCAAGACTCATACCACTCTTTACTGACAGATTCAAGACCAGTTGAAGGGGTTATAACCATAACCCCCTTGTACAGGACTTACCAACTAATACAGATCCATTACCAGGCGATAAACCCACCCAGATATGATGTGCCCCAACGAAACCCATTGGGGGGGGTCTCTTTGGGCACTTTAAAATCACCCACCAACCCCAACCAGCCCAACCCCCAAAATCCAAATCTCTCAAAACTTCATTGAAGATCACTAAGGGAGGTTGATTTGGAACATAGGAAGATTGAAATCTCATGATCTGGTCTGATTTCTTTACAAATTAAGATAAATCTGAACCTAATCAATAATATACTTTCATGCAATTAGGTTGGGGCTTATGTTTATTCTTCCATTCTTAGCTTGAATCTCTTCCATTTGGAAAAGCAATTACAACGTAGTTCAATTTTCATAAGATCCTAGCACATACAACCAAAGGTCCTTGATAGCGAAGCATGTTGTCCTCCCAACCCAAGAGAGATACGTGACACATCTAGATGAGGATTTCTATGAGCTTAGAGACAGGATTAAATTATTCAAAAAACAAAGAGGCCTGACCTTTATGGTGTCACAATGATGTCGGGGCCAACAAAAATGAGCATCATCGATTTCATTGCTTATTTCAACAAGATAGTTTTTCATAAGTCACTTGATGCATCTGACAAGATCTATTAAGCGAATGATAAAGCGGCAAATTTCGAGGGGACCAATCATCATTGTAGGTTGATATGGAGACCGAATTATTCCTACTTGCTATCACACACCAAAAATGCTACCTAAAACAGTATGCTTCCAAAAAAAGATATTTTCTTTTCTTTTAGATCTATGGATGGATAGTTAATTGGTTGGACAAAAAACCTTAGTGGTACCTGTTTCTCAAATTGGCTATTTCTCCATCTCCAGAGATGTATAAATCCTTCACGATGTAAAGTACTCGTTGATTTGGAACTATGCCTTATGTTATCTTTCAATTCTCTCCCAAAAATATTTACCTAATCCATCCCCCTTCCCCAATAAAAGCATGAGCCTCTATGGAAATCTGTATCGGCCACATAGACAGTGAAAGATGTATAGGAATCTTAACTGTATCCCATTTGAAAATCCAAAGATATCAGAGATCAAACTTTCTCCCCCCTCAACAGACTCAACGGCCTCTGCTTACTACATGCAATAAGAAAGATCCCATTTTGAATTTTTCCGCACAGCTCCCTCTTAGTTCCAATCATACAATCCACCAGCAGTTTACTAATATGATATCATGTAAAATTTCCTGGTCGGATACAAAAACAAAATTTTTGAGCATTCCTCAGTCACAGCCTATGATCCAACAAATGAAATCGAGACCAGAACCCTGAGAGATCAACCCTTTGGACATGTCATAAGCACGCGTATTTGCATAGGTGGTACGATGTGATCGATTAATGAATATCAAAATTTGAAACGAAGTTGAAGTTGATAGAGAGGTGACTAAAAGAAAATTTGACTCGTTTCTCAAGGAAACTACGAGTTCATTATCGAAAGAAAAAGACCGTGGTACAAATTACACGAACAAAAACCCTAACAAAATAATAACAACAACAATAATATTTTTTTCTCAAGTGCTTTAGATTTTTCACATCCAACCCACAGAAGGACCTTAATCTCACACAAAAGACTGCTATAAATTCAAAAATATCAACCAAAATCGAGCGATGAAAGACGCCTGCACATCAGGAAAACCAAGAAAACTTTGAGGAAGAGGAAATTGTCCACTTACATGCTATTTACAATCCTTTGCCGCGCCTCCGGGTGGAGTTGGGTCCTCCAGTCGCCGGATCCCCCATCCGAGGCGGCGGCGCTCTCCCCCTGAGCGGGCCTCCAACTATTCCCCTCCATCGGAAGGATCTAAAGCACGCACCACTCAAATTGAGATCTCAGAGCCGGGGAAATCAAAGTAGATAGGAATCCGCAGGGAAATCGATCCGGCAACAACGAAAAAGTGGGTTGCCGAGGACGAGCGAGAAACGTGCGAAGAGCCGAGAGAGAGAGGGGGGGCGTAGAAAGAAAGCTTTGGGGGAAGGGAGGAAGTGCGGTGGGGGATTCCCTTCAAACATATACACAGCAGCCGAGAAGAAAACTGCGCCCTCCACCCAAAAGATAAAAAATTCAAATATAAGAAAATAAAAATAAACTAAAGAAAAATTAAGATAAAAGGCAATAAACGAACAGTAAAGTTTTAAATGGAAGCAAATAAAAATGACTAAAAAATAAAAAGTCAATCATGGCAAATAAAATAAAATAAGAAAAATAATATAGTATTTTTTAATCTATGATAAGAAATAATTAAGTTTGGTAATTAGTATATATTATTTTTTTACATATTAAAATATTAACTAAAATAAATCTATATAACAAATATTTTTCGTCCACGATCGATGAACTAAAATTAATTTGATCGATGAAAGAATCCTATTAGACATATCCAATATAGTCTTTTATTGAAACGAAATAAGCATTATTAAATACAAGAATTTCATCTTTAGCTACAGAGAAATTCTCTCTCGATTGTATTCTCCATCTCCAAGCACTACAAAACCGAAATAACAAATCCAGTCGAATAGATTACACCGCACTGCATTGATAATCAAAATTGATTACACCAAATCTTAATTCCAAACTCTTGAAACATCACAGTTTATTGAGTTTAGACCAGAAACATGAACCGATTACTCTTATATCCCGTTGCCAATTGCTTCTTGCTTCTCGATCCAAGGCCCCACCTCAGTTAAAAGCTTCTTAGCAGCTACTTCTCAGTGGCAATCCTAGTGTCTTAGCAATCTTACAAATATGTGCAAAACAAGTTAGTGCAGCACTTGAAAACCACAAGATCATGCATGATAAATGGAAATCAGTCAAAATTAGAATGGAAGGAAACAAAAATCTCTAATGGATTATGAATCTTCGCTCTCAGTTGGTTATGATTATGCCGACAAAACATTGGTTGCATATAACTTTTCAGGTGACAACCAGGTTACTTTAATTATGTGGAGACATGCTGAAAATTCACAACATTTGAATACCAGGTCTAACAAATTCAAAGAGAAAACACTCGGTTGCTGACGGGTCGTATGTTGTTAAAAGTTAAAACAGTACTACCCATAAAGGTCCAAATGCAAAAAATCCAAATACTGAAACACCTAATGCTAGAACAAAGAAACAAGTGCATCTAGCTAAATTAAATGACTAGAATTTATTGATGAGACAATCCTGGAGAAAGCTGGTGACGAATGAGTTCCATGTATCAAACAAATACTGGATAAATGCATGATAATTGGAATTTTGTATTTTCCCTCTTATATGGTTTATCTTTACTGCTGAATTCATCCAATAGTGTAGTTAAAAGGAGGTAACGAGTTTAGAGTACTATTCTGAATAGGGTAATAGATACAGAGACAAAAATGCATCTTGTCTTGAATATTTATGATATTAAGAAAGTAAAGGAACCAAGAATAAAGCAAGGGCACTGTGAATTGTTATAAGATTGCTATGTCAAATCTCATTCTTGGGGCTATATTAATAAAGCCCATACAGCAACTAGCTTCTCACGTAAAGAAGGTTTAGACATGTCCCCTTCGATCACCATTCTGATTCATTTAATTAGACAGTCATGTAAAGGACTCAAAGAAGCCATAGCTATATCCAAATAGCCAGACGTCAACAATTTTCTTTTTCCCCTATCTTGTGGAATTCTGGATAAGGTTTCCATATTCTGAGACAAATCATATTCTTGCTTTTACTCAAATCATGTCTTTGATATTAATGGTTGCAAGAACCCTCTTTCGCTCAAATCATATTCTTCAAGCTTCAAAAAAAACGCACATACAACTACTAATCATATTCTTTTTCTCCTATCATATCTTTGATATTTACGGTCACAAGAACTTGCTTTTGCTCAAATCATATTCTTCAAGCTATAAAAATAAAGCCCATATAACTACTAATCATATTCTTTTTCTCCTATCATGCCTTTGGTATTTATGGTCACAACACAAGAAATTG